TCTACTTGAGGTAAATGTTTAACTCACATGCCTGTATTTTATTTGGCAGGAAACCACAGGTGTGGGTTCAATTCCAGACCTGAAGGGCAGCTAGGGGCCATAGTCTCAGTGGTTCCACCAGGCTCTGTCAGTTCAGAGGATACTTTTAAAGATTGTCTTAAGGCAGTAGTTTTAGGGATTCATCCAGCCTCAGTGGCTCCCAAAAGTCTGAATTCCATGAAAATTTGAAATTTTGTTCTGTATTTTCCCCCTTTTTGATCAGGATTCTGTGTAATCTTTAATCAAAATACTCAGTAATGATAGCTGGGCACCATCCAGTTCTCCTCATCTCATGACAAAGGAAGCTGTTGTTTATGGACGCAATTATGTGCACTTCCATCTCCTCCTCCTCTTCCTGACTGTCCTTCATCTGTTGCTCCAGGTGAATAGAGACCAATGGTTTGTACCTTGGATGGGCCACTTGCAAGCTTTAAAGGCCCTGGGCCCTGTGCAGTGAATTAGGAGGTAGACCAGAGTGCCATTTGCTCTTTTGCTGAATTGGCTGTTTCTCCCTAGGAGCCCCTTGTTTGAGAGTGGTGATGGCTTTGTCTCTCCCTAGGAGCCCCTTGTTGGAGAGCGGTGATGGCTTCAGGGCTCTGTCACACTGCAGGTTCTCGGGACATGCTTATGGGTCTAGAGGAATGTTGCAGGAAACACTTCGACCTCTTAGATGTTTGTTCCTTTCCCACACTCCTCAGATTCCTTCTAATTTGGGAGTGAGTCTCCTCTGGACTTCCGTAGCTCTGCCCCAGTCTCTCTGAGGCTGACGAGGTTTAGCAGACTGATGCGGGATCCTGCAGGTATATCATCCACCTGCCATGTTGCACCCTTTCTTCACTTCACATTTGCCTGTAGGATGGAGACATCCTGGCTCAGCCAGAAAGCATTAGAGCCCTGTAAGAACTATTCTAGAGGCAGCCACTGAGTGCCTGCCATTGGAACCAGTACTTTGCAAAGAGGGTTTAAAATCTCAACTTATGAAAGAAGAGGAGGGTCAGAGGGAAAACTGAGATGCTCTCTGGTTTCACAGCTATGAGGAAGTTTTCTTTTATAGCTATGCCTCTGCTCCTAGGCCAAGAGTGAGTTTATATTTTGGTGGAATTTAAAATTAACTGGATTAAAGGATCAGGTCACCTATTATCTGGGGAAAGATTCCAATTTAAATATCGTGGCTTTAGTAGAAAGTAATCGGAGTTATTCAGAGCATAGAAACCTGGTTGTGCAGCAGGCGCTGGATGTTTGAGTAATTTGGGTCACTCTACTTTTAGGCGGGGAGCCTGGGAGGTCTCTGAACTGCTTGGTGACAGACACACACTGACTCCAGG